AAGAAACCCTAATATTTTATTTTCAACATTATAAGCTATCAAATTTCATGAAAATCATAAATTCAAGCTATACAACATCCTTAGCAGATTGCTATGATGTTGTCACCTGAGCAAGTCACTGCAAATCAAGGAATGGTGCTCACTGGTATAATCAGGACCAGGAGGCAATGTTTTTAGGTAAACTCTTCACTTCAAAAGCTGACGTGAGAAACTTCCCTTCCAACAGCCTTAACACCTCAGTGTGGTGTGGCAGGATCTTGTGCTGATGCTGTTCATTCGTCATAGAGCACAGTCACCTGGGAGCTGGGATTTGATTACAGTCATGATTTTCATTATTTCTCCCCCACTCAGTCAAGACCACGAAATATAGCTATTTGCCAATTGCCTCTGGAATGACATCAAGTACGAAGTTTGAGGGAAGAAGTACCCTCCTTGCTGCACGCATGACTGGTGCTCCATCATGTCTAACTTTCCCAGTTTATACCACGCTCACAAAAGGATCACCCGCTAAGTAACAATAACGATAATGATGATGATGATCATAATAAACCCTCTTTTCCTGTGTCATGAATCTTCAGTGAGAAACAGAACAAAACTTCGCCAAATTCTTCTCCTTACAAATCACAAGCCCTGACTCAGTCTCTGCGTATCAGTGAGGTCATTCAACTATGAAGCAAAATATCTGCTGCCTCTAACACCTGTTATAGCAACTGCCCAACCCTGCAAGCGATTCATATTGTCATATCCAGTGTCCAATATCCAAACGTCATATCCCAGTAACATGTGATAAAGTAATTCTGCCAAAGACCTTTTGCTCTCTTTACAAGCACAATATGTGTCATTAAGATTGTGCTAGTTTTACAAACCTCTTGACAATAGTATCAAATGTATGTTTCACTTGTGTTTTTGGTGAGAAGTTCAACTCAATGATATATCAATCATCTCCTCGTTAGGAACATTCACCAAAGTATTGGATCATCAGGAAAGTCGTGACGTATTTTTCTGTTTTTCAAGGCAAAANTTTTTTTAAATATTTTACAGTGAATGGCATGTTAAGAGATCTCTATAAATATTTGTTGGATGAAATAATCATGCAGTGCTTTAACAGGAATTTCATCCAGGAACTATATGAAACAATTTTATGTCCTTTTTTCTACTGCTTTGCACTGGGTTATATTTTCGATTTTAACACAGTAATTAGTGAATCAGAATATAGTATCATGAGGGGCAGTGCAGTAGTGGCTAAAAGCTTAAGCTCTAGAGCTAGACTGCCTGGGCGTGAATCCTGGCTCTACCACATGAAAGCAACGTGACAAGGACTTTGAACAAGTTACTCATCCTTTTTGCATTTTAGTTTTCTCTTCTGTAACACGGAAGATAATCAGTATCAAAACCCATAGGGTTCTTATGAATAATAAAGAAGTTCATATATGTCAAGCACTTGGATCAGTGTCTGGAACACAGTTAACACTTAATATATGATAACTATTATGATAAATAACATCCTTGTATCCTTTGTTGTATTACATTATTTACCATTTATTAACCATTTTTAGTAATCATCTGTAATTAGAACAATCATCACTATAGAAATATAATTGGAGAGCTGTTTTTGAGATGCTACTATGATACTTTAATTTTTAAAAAATCACATGAAATATAGATTTTAATATTTGTGCTGGCTACAATGAAAAATGAATTGAAAGGGGCAAGACTAGCAGCTGGAAACCTAGTTATGAAAATTTCACAATAACTAGGTGAGTTATGATGAAGGAACAAACTAGAAACAGTGTGGATTAAAGCGATGAATTAACTTGACAGCTATTTAAAGAACAGAAATAACTAGACTTGAATAATGATTGATATGGAGCACGGAAGGTTTTTTGCATAAACAAGATAGATGGTGGTAACATTCACTTAGGCTATGAGAATGAGTGAGATCTAGAAAGACAATTACGAAGAGAACAGGAGATCCTAGTTTTCATTCTGAGTCTCGTCTAACCCTTTTGGTATGGACAGAGAAAGAAAAGCTGGTAGAAAACATACCAAAGAGTAAGAGTAAACTCCGGGAAACGTGGTACCAAGAGTCATTGGAAGGGACGGTTTCAAGAAAGGGGAAATGATCTACATTCCAAATGCTATAGAGAGGGATACAAGTGACCACTAGATTTAGCAAGAAGCAAGTCTCATTGGTAGGAGTAGGCACAACATGGTAGCAGATGAGACTGCAAAATCTCTTCAAGAGTCTCAACCAGAAAGAGAAAAACAAAGGAGAACCAACAGCTAAAGGGAAAATGAAGCTGAAGGCTAGGCTTTGTTGTTTTACAATGACAGAGATTTGAGGTGGTTTCAAAGAATGAGCAAAGATAAAAAGGCTGGACATACAGGTCAGAGAGGAGACAAGAAACAGAACTTGATTCCTAAGGAAAAGGTAGGTAGGCTTCATTGCATGGACAAGGACAGGTCCCTCTTTCAATGTTTCATGAAAAAGGAGAAAAGAAGTAGTACGGATGCAGGTACATTTGTAGAGTTGTGAGGTGAAGAATTTGCCATCCGATGGTTTTTATTTTCGTTGTGATATGAACAGAGGTCATGCACTGAGAGGAAAAAGGAAATGGGTGAACAGAGAATTTGAAGATTACAGAAAAGATATGAGGGTGAATGGAACAAATAAATGCCTAGATCAGAAGTTTTTAACCTGGATCCAAAGGACTCCTAGGAAGTCTGTAGGTGAGCTTCAGACTCTGTGAACCTCCCAGAGTGTAAGCCAACTTTTATGTATATATTCTTACATCTATTTTTTCTGGAAAGCCCATATCTTTCATCAATTCTCAAAAGGTCTGAGACCAAATAGGTTAAACCTACAAAACAGGAGGATTACTGCCTATTATAGTGGAATTGGTTGAATCTGGAAACCATATAACAATCTACACATATGTGGAGTTTTTTTGTTTTGTTTTGTTTTGTTTTCCAGAAGCCTAAGTAAGACATGGAAATTACAGATAACACTGATTCTTGTTTGGAGTTTTGCCATGCCCTAGCATCAAGACTAAAACGGTGAGAAAATTGAGGATACTGGTAAGAGTACAAGGGAAGAGACTAAATAACATTATCTAACTTGGGCAGGAAATAGAGTGAAAGAGAGTAAAAAAGTAGAGGGCTACAGGGAATGAAGTACAGATAAAGTCAAAGGCCAAGTAAAGTAAAGCTAAGTAACAGGAGAAAAAATTGATGTCACATTATGGGTTGTTTAAACTTAATTAAGAGTTGGAGCTGTTAGATCCAGGATGGGTCCTATGAATAACCATCATGAATGTGGACATTTACTAGATATAAGGGTATCAGATAAGTACGTTGTATGGGACCATTCACATGGTTACTGAAATCACTCACGAGTGTGACAAGACTCAGAATGAAAAAACACTATGAGGCAGGTACTAAATTTTAAGAATGTAAGGCAGTGACTGAAAGGTAGGCAGGTAATATAAGGGGAGTAGAGCAGGATGGCCATGCCTCCAAAGAGCAGTAGTTTTGTCACTTGAGGATGGAATAATATGGTTCGGAACCCAGTGAAATGTAAGTGGTTCTCATCTTCTGACATACAGAGAATTTTGGCAAATAAACAACTACCACTTCAAAAGGCTATATGGTAAACTAATGCCCTCACAGGAATTTCCAGTGCAATTCAAACAATGAATTAAAGGGAAAGTTCCTATAACTGTTTACTTGTCTGCAGTTTACAAAGCACTTCCACATAAAATGTATCACTGATTACCAAATAACTCTACGGGTAGATCTGAAGAGCTTAAAGGATTTTCCCAAGAGTGGGTGGCAGGTCTTCTAATACAGTCTTTGAACTTCTTCCATGATATGAGTGAGTCCATTTACTAAGTTATTTGGAAAACTTAGGAAGAATAGAAAAAAAAAAAAAGTGTGTGTGTGTGTGTGTGTGTGTGTGTGTGTGTGTACATGCGTGCAAAAGCGCACTCGTGCACATACATTCCAGGTACTTTACATATATTAATTCATCAACAATCTTCGTTTAAACTAAGGCTTAGTAAATTACAGTCACATAGTTGGTAAGAGATGAAGCAAGATTTGAACTTTGTCTAGTTCCATATACTCTGATGGTGTAGCATATTAATGCAGAAGGAGAATAGTATAGCAAGAAAAAGATGCAACACAGAAACATTGTAAGAATTAGCAAAATTCTACTGAAAAAAAGGAGAATAAAAGCATCTAAACTGTATAGCCTCTTTCCCAAAATCCAGGTTTAAGTTTACTGAAAACGGTAAAAGAATTCGGAAAATTTAGGAGCATACTGAACTAAATAAACCAACAAAACAGAGGATTGGTAGACTCATGTCATGAGTGAATGTAAGAAAGTCCTCATAAGCTTTTCGACACTCCCTTTAAAAAGCAGCAATAGAAACAGATAACATTTATTAAGCACTTACTCTGGACTAGGCTCTGTGCTATGGAAACAACATGCATCACCTCAATGATTTCTCACAACAACTCTTTGAGGGAAATATACTTACTCCCATTTAATAAAGAAACTGAGACACCGGAAAGTTAAGAACTTGGCCAGGGTCATCTAGGTACCAAGTGATAAAATCAAGACCCAAACTAGAGACTGAACTCAAGTCATTTTAGCAAGACAAAACATTAAATAAGGAGACTATCAATAACATTATTCTATCTTTATCATCACGCACACTACAATATTTATCTTACATTAATTACACATTATTAATGTGTGCTATACAATAAATTTCAGTTAAAAGCACTTGATTACTAGAAACTTTTGAAAACTACTCTCCAACTGTACACTTTATTTCAGCTAACGACCTATAAATATTTTGATCTGTGGTAGTTAATATGTATGCTATAGGGGCTTTGTTCCTTCTGGGATCATTCCTCCATATAAGTGGTCGATTCTTTT